CTCCTGATCCAGAGCTACCTGGGGGTAAGGGGGAACTGTACTTTGAAGGGTTCATTATTTCTCTCTCTTCTTCATGTCTTCTAATAATCTTAAGAGCTCTTCTTGTCTCCTAGTCCACAATGAACAGATATCTTCATTAGTCTATGCCTTATTTTTAGTAGAAATTCTGGTCATATTCAACATAACTGTGTCCTTACCTTTACACTAGTAGACTTCTTTGTATTGTGCTTGTCAGCATCACTGTGATTTAAAATTAAGCTATAAAATTTTCAGTACTTTACAATTTTAAATGGCTGAAATATTCTACTGTCATTATTAACCTTAATCACCTATGCTTTCATTCATGTCCAAATAGTAATCAACACTAATTTAGAGCTTTTTAGAATGTGGTGATAGCCCTGTTAAAGAAACTTTTGTTTTACGGAGCTAGATTTCGTGGATTAAATGTTACCACGTGCCTGCCTGTTATGAGGACAAGCATTCTTTTTCAGAAATTGAGGAACACACTTAGGTAGTCCTTCGTCAAAGCTGTGGTAGTAGACCCTCCTTCCCTTCTTCCTCTCCAAAAAAACCCCTCAAAATCTGCAAAGCATGGTCTAGGCATGTCTAGATTTTGGTGGTAAAAATCTTCCAGTCTTGCAAGAATAGCTAATTCAATAATGTGTCCACCACAACCCACACGTGCACACACACACAGAGAGACATATTTCTGTATAACAGTTGATTCTCTTCTATGTTCATAAGGGATGGGTTATTGTAAGTTATTGTAAGTATAGATACACGGCAATCCAATGAGTATAATTTACAACATGGCCTTTACGAGGGGAAAGAGCACTTACAGTATCTACATTTGTGTGTGAATGAAGGAATTAGCATGTTTATTAACCATTGCACATTTGTTACACTGCTGTAAAATCGACTTTCATTCTAATGACCTGGTTTAATACATAATTTTCAAATTGATGGCAAAGACTAGGCATGGATTCTCTTGTTCCAGAAGGCAAATTGTTTATGTTTGTACTGAAGCCTCAAATTAGTTTATTCTGCCTGATCTCTACAGTAAAAACTGAAACTTTTTTCCCACTCTAAGAAGCACCTTAATAGCTTTGTTTCCTATCCCCTACTTGTTTCTTCATTCATGAGCACTCACTGCCTTTGTTTCATGTTTTTGAAAGATTCCATCCCTGCACTGAATTACCTTATCCCAAGTTTTGTAACCATCCCAGTAATTCTGTTTCTCTGGTCAGCTGATACAGAAGGACAGTCATTATACCCCTGTAGGTGAAATATTGCCCAGAGTGTCCCCATGTGGTGTTGGAAAGGAGTAGACACTGCACAAAGCTGTAGCTTTGATGTTTATTGCAGTAGGAACCTGCAGCATCTCTATGGTCTCTTTAAGGGAGCAGGTCCTGTCCACTATGCTCTGTAAAGTCAGAATAGAATAGAATAGAATAGAATAGAATAGAATAGAATAGAATAGAATAGCTGAGTTGGAAGGGACCTACAATGATCATCTAGTCCAGCTGCCTGACCACTTCAGAGATGACCAAAAGTTAAAAGATATTATTAAGGGCATTGTCCAAATGCCTGTTAAACACTGACAGGGATGGGGCATCGACCAGCTCTCTAGGAAGCCTGTTCCAGTGTTTGACCACCCTCTCAGTAAAGAAATGCTTCCTAATGTCCAGTCTAAACCTCCTGTACTCATAGTCTTCCAACTCAGAGAACTGGGCAGCCCAAGGTTTGTCAGGATTATTAAAGACTGAGGCAAAAAATACATCAAATGCCTCTGCTTTTTCTTCATCCCTATTAGTCAGGTAACCAACATCAACAAGTATTGTCTAATGTTTTCTTTAGATCTCCTCTTGCTATTAATGTACTTTAAAAACCCCTTCTTATTGTCTGATACAACATTGGCCAGCTTCAACTCTGATTGAGCTTTGGCCTTTCAAGTCTTCTCTCTGCATATATGAACCACAGATCTGTAATCTTCCTGTGAAGCCTAACATTGCTTCCAGAGATCATACAATTTATTTTTACACTTAAGCTCCAAGAGTTCCATGTTCAGACAAGCTGGTCATCTGCCCCGCTTGCTTGACTTATGACACACTGAAATTTCCTGGTCCTATGTTTTCAGAAGGTTTTTCTTAAAAACTGATCAGCACTCATGGACTCCCAATCCCTCAAAAGCAGATTCGCAGGGGACACTGCCTAGTAGTTCCCTGAATAGCTTAAAGTTTGCTCTCTTGAAATCCAGTGCAGCAACTCTGCGGTCCTTTTTTTCTAATTACTCTGAAAATTTAAAATGCAATCATGTCATGATCACTGTGGCCAAGACAGCCACCTACCATCACATCTCCAAGCCCTTCTCTGTTCACAAATAACAAGTCTAGGAGGGAATCTTTCCTAGCTGGCTCACTGAGTACTTGTAGTTAGGTCAGTCGTAAGGCAATATGGGTTTGAAGTAACCACCTTCTGGAGAACAGAACACACTTTCTAGTCATATTAGTGAAGTCGTATCCCTATTGCTAGGTGCTGTAGGCTCTCCTATTTGTTTTCTTTGTCCGTGAGGAATGATTCTTGATTCTGCTTCCAGTGAGACATTGCTCTTTTGTCATGTCTGCTTTTTCATTTTCAGAAAGTACATTTAGGAGACTGGCCAACAAGCAGCCAGATGGACTTCAACAAATACAACCTTTCAGAGAAGACAGAGCAGGCTAGCTTCCTTCAAGTTGTTGAAAGGTGAGCAAACAGCACATTATAGTGACACCGTAGATGATTGATAGTCTCAAACTGCTCCCTTGATCATGGCAGGTTGTAATCAAATGTTCTGACACTGAAAAGCCTATACAAGTTGCTTCTGAGGAATGGATAAAATTTTTTGCACTCTGGGTTAGCCTACTTCTCCAAGAAAGATATTTTCTAGCCCTATGTGTAGCTATGTGTGTTTTCAACTAAGCTTGTTTTATATTTAATTTTTACCACAATAATATATTTCACAAGCAACTTTTAACTTCCCCATATTTAGGCAAATGAAGAGTTTGGCAGAGTCCCCTGAAGGGCAGGCTAAAAAGACAGATGTTTCCCCTGTTGCAGTGGACCTACAGAACTCATACCATGCTTTAAATGAGCCAGAGCATGCTTCAGTTGACTGCTCAAGTCGGATTGCTGGTCATTCCTTTCCTGTTTCAAGGAGAAACAGTGCTGATGCCTGTATTGCTTCCCAGACAGCAATCCCTTGCTTTGCTTTCAATGGTCCATACTTATACAGCTCAATGATATTCTCTCAGCCTGATATGTATCAGACGCTGGAAGTGGACCCAGTGGGAGTCCGTGAGAAATCACTTTCCCTTCAGTATGTGACCCTCCCAAAGGAAGACTGTCACCAGCCTCCACACAGGCAAGGACAGCCAGGAGAAGGTCCTCCACAGCCCCTCCTGCTCCCAGATCAGAAAGAAATTATGCTGTACCTTGACGATGAGAAAGAAGTCTCACCAGCCGCACAGGCCGGTGGGAAAGGCACAGATGTCAGAAGAGAAGAGCAGAAATCTCCAAAGGCTCTTAGCTGTATCACGTCTCCTCAGCACTGCCCCTTAGAGTACATCACCACGGAGAGCCTGTTACTGCCACCAACCAGTGACTCCACCCATCCGCCACTTGTCACTGCTGGGGAGTTACCTTGTGACTCACGGAAGCCCCAGCCCCCCAGTGATCATTCTTGCCATGAGTTTTGTCCTGGGAAAACTGATGTCATTGTCCCAGTTTCAGGTCAAGCACGAACGTCTTCTTCTGAATTGCGCCCAGATGCATTTGGAGACTACCTTACTACCCCTTTAGGTCTCCATGGACCTTCTGAACCCACAAAGATTTCTTTGCCTGTCTTACAGAAGGGAAATGATCTTCCTAGAAAGCAGCCTTTGTCAGAGGGTAACTTGGTGGTGTTAAACCCTGACAGCACTGAGCCAGTTTTCCTTTGCCAGGTTGGTGACTATTGCTTCCATAGCCTAAAATCCAGTGTGAAGATGGATACTAGTCAGGAAGACTACCAAGTCAAGAAACCTTCTGAAGGCAAGACAACACCTGGGAAGCCTGTATCTGATGATGAATCTGTCACTGGCAAGGAAAAGGATGTATCAAAAATGCAGGCTATTCAGCTTTTCAAAAACCTGAAATCAGATGATTATTTTTCCTGGCAGCAATCTTTGAAGATAACAGAAATCTGTTAAATGGGCAAATATTGATGAATACCAAAGCTACAGGTAACTGAAGGAGGTAGCAACTATTTTATGTAAATGAACCCTCAAACCTTGGAACAAATAAACGCCACTTCCCTTTTCCATCTTCCAGTCCAACATGTTGGAAGACTTGAAGTAGCTCAATATCCTTCTCTATGGCTTTCACAGATTTGGCATGAAAGACAATACCGATATTGTCCTTTGGTGTTTTTCAAACTTTTTGGCTTATCCACAATGAGCAGTTTAGCCTCCTCATGATCCTGTGACACCTAGCAGTCATCTTGCAATGATACCAGATTGCCTGAGGCAAAACTTGGGACAGGAAGTGTTAAAGTACTATATGATTTTAAGTTCATTGGCTGTTTATGTATGATATAATTAATCTTCACTATGTAATTTATTCTTAATGTTTTTTTCTGAGTCATAAGCTGTGTTGAGACAGAGGACCCATTTTTTTCTCAGTTCTGCTGTAAATAAAGTAACACAAGGTAAGAGCATTTGTTCAGAGCTGCTGCTCTGTGATCAGTAAAAGGCTTTGGTTTCAGACCTGAAGGTGGGTTTGCATTCCAAACAAACATGTTTCTTTTTCAAATATAAAATATGTACTAATAAAAAAATGTTATTTCTTCCCATAAATCTTTCTTTTCATACGTTAAGAGCATTGTGGTTACAATAACATAATTATTAGTTTACCAGATCAGGCCTCAAAAAATTCTGTAGGATCAGCTATGTCACCTGCGAGGTAGGATGTTTTCTCCTGACTTTGCTGTATTATTTGACATAGATAATGAGAAGGAGTTTTGTGCCAGCTTATTCCTCCTGCTCGGTTAATGGGACAGTGCAGATTCAGAAATTGTGGTGGATTGGGTTTTTTTGGAATTTAAATCCTTATAAATACAATTTTAAAGGTGTGCAAATTCAGTTTGGTGTTCTTGACAGCAAAAAGCAGGCAGTTGCAGCCTCTGATAGAGAATATTGATGAACACTTTGAGGGATTTTCAATTAGGATTTTCAATTAAGTCCTTTCCTAATCAACCAATTTTTTTTATTTTTTTTTTTGTTAGTCTCTTCTTTGGCTTTTTATGAGTAGCACAATTTCTTCCAGGCTGTATGATTGTGCTTTATCTAGGCACGCGCTAAAAGGAGATGTTCAAATTCATATGCAAATTTGGTATCTTGATTCACATCTTAGATAAGCATCACCTTGCTGGGCCTTCAGTTACTTGAATTAGGAGAACTTCTATTCAGCTCAGTAGCTTTTGGATGAAGCCCATTTGCATTGTGATCAATACTCTAGGACCTATATGTTCCTCCTGTCCTTCTGCACTTCACTGGGCATTTGCAGAAGCTGCTTTTTGAGACAGGATTTATAGGTACAAGAACATTTGATATGACCCCACAGAGCAAATATTATGATCTGAAGGTCACTTCAGGAGCCTGGAACTTTCAGAGTAACATGCCATTGTGAGGCTAGGGAAGCTGAATAGTGGTTGTCTTTTGCAATTATAATGATTGTTTTAGGGCACAGTGAGTTTCCACTCTAGGGACTCATTGTTCAATATCCACCTAAGCATCATTAAATAAAATATGTAATGAAGCAGGGGTCACAACCTACAGCTCTACTGTGCCAGAGGAATCCAGTTCTTATTGGGTTACAGAATCAAAGCTTCCATAAACTTTGTCTGTTGCTGATCCTATGAATCTTACATTCTCTTCTGCATGAGGTCCAGCTGCAGTGGGGGTGGTAAAAAAGCATTTTACAATCCTGTAGCCTGGTGATTCAAGACTTAGGAGCTGTTATGAGTCCCAGGTCTTCAACTTCCTGATCATTAGCTCGAGCCACAAAGTGTGTAAATGGAGGTTGCTGCTACCTTCCCCAGTGCTGGGTACTGACATGCAGGAGAGGAATCATAATTCTGATGATTCAGGAGCCAAGTATTACATGCTCCTCTCCGCAGGGTTTCCCACTAAGTACTTCCAGCCACCCAGCCTGTATATCTGAGTGATGATTCATCAATGTTTCCTATACAGTTGTTGTGGTTTAAGGCCACCTGTCAAACTAAGCATCACGGCAGCCTCTTGCTAAAAACCTTGTGGGCTGAGGCAAGGACAGGGAGGGTTCACTCACTACTTATGGTCACGGGAAAGAAACAGACAACTTGGGAAAATACAAAAACAATTTGATTCATTAACAATCCAAATCAGAGCAAAATAATAAGAGAATTACACCTTAAAAAGACATCTCTCCCCCACCCCTCCCTTCCTCCTGGGCCCAAAGACTTTGTTCCCAATTTCTCTACCTTCTCCCCACCGGTGGCACAGGTGGCAGGGAATGGGGGTTGCAGTCAGTCCATCATGTGTTGTCTCTGCCGCTCCTTACTCCTCAGGGGAGAGCTCTTCACAGTCTTCCCGGCTCCAGCGTGGGGTCCCTCTCATGGGAGAGCCCTCCGCAAACTGCTCCGACGTGAGTCCTTCCCATGGGCCTCACTTCTCCACTATCTGCTCCAGCGTGGGTCTCTTAAACAAAATTCAACTGTGCTCCATTGGGCACAGTTACTTCTTCCAGCATGGGGTTCTCCACGGCTACATCTCCATAAGCTGCAGGCGAGCTCTGCTCTCCACGGGCTGCACTTCCTCTCTCTCCTTTCTCTTCACTGACCTTTGTGTCTTTGTAGTTATCTGTCTCGCATCCTGCTCCTCTCTCTGCCGCAGGTTCTTTTGCTGGTTCCTGAGGAACTCCCGGCTCTTGGGCAGGGGCTGCGCTGGGTCGGCTGGGCAGTGGTGGGGGCTGGGCAGGCAGCAGGCAGCAGCTGGATGGATGGAATGTCTGGGTCCTGCCTGGGGCTCTGCCCCTGCTGCCTGTGCTGTGCACCCTCTTCAATATGTCATTCACAGAGGACCTGATGGGCTCATCCCTGGCCAGAAGTGGGTCCAGCCTGGACCTGGGGAAATGTCCAGCAGTTTCTCACAGGGATCATGTCGGTAGTGTCCCCCCACCACTGCCAAACAAACATGGAGCTGGAGGAACTTTAGCAGTTACTTACAGGAGCCACCACTGTAGCCCCTCCCCTGATACCAGACAAAACCCACCACACGAAACCACAACAACAGTCAAAAAAGGAGAGATAGGCATTTCAATCAATACTGTAAATCACATTTTACAACTCTCTATTTACACTGAATATACAGTTATGAAATAAGTTCAACCCTTACTATATGCTCAAACATCAAAGATTCTGCCTGTGTTTTAACAGCAGGGATTTTTTCTCTTCATTGCTCTGAAGTAATCAGTTTATTATTCCCTTATCATAATCTTCCTCAACCAGAAATATATTACCTGAATTTGCATGAGATTAGGGTAGTAAGTATATTGTGACCTCAATAGTTCTAATTAAGTTCCATGCTGAACTAGTCTGTTGTTCTGTTTCTGCTAGCCTGAGAGTTGTCTTTCATGTAAGCAGGGAAAATGAGGCTGAAAAGGAAACCTGCAGTGGAAAGCCCTCAAGGAACAATAGCTGGAAAACTTCTGAGAATCCTGTATCTCTGGAGGGTAATGGAAAACAAACTCAATCTATCCTGCCAGTCCCTGTGTAGTTTCTTGTTCATTCAGTCAAACACATTTGTACGCACAATCTTATTCCCATACAAATCCAAGGAATGATCTCTGCCTCTTCCCTTCACTCCCTACATGCTCCCTCTGCTCTCACCACAGAGCTGAAATTTCCATGAAAAGAAACCTCACATGTCATGTTCTGTACATGGGAAATAAGTACCTCAATTACTTCATGCTTGTAGCCTTCCAGTGTACCTGTTTGTTCTTTTGCTGGATTCAGAGGTACGTAGGATGTTGACACACATTTTCAAGTCTTTTTCATTCACTGAAGATTCACGATGCTGTTCCAGCATCTAAAGACACCTTTTTCTTCCCTTCTACTTGCAGCAGAGACTGTAATACAGGAACATAAGACTAACACACTGGGTCTAAACAGTCATTCCATCTTGCCCAGTATTCTGTCTCTGCCAATGTTTGCAGTGGATGCTTAAAGCCAGGGTGTAGTAAACATGTAAAAGTATGCAGTAAACAATTAAATCCTTAACTGATATATTTACCTGGTATCTGGCCCAGAGCCTTCCTGAGTTGGAGGTTACATCTAAGCTGTTGTAGATAATATGTACTTAGCAGCTCAGGCCTTTAGATAGTCAACTAATCCCTTTCTAAAACCACTTAATGTTTGGCTTCATAATGTCTGATAGTAAAGCATTAATCAGTTTATAAATAAAAATATTCAAACAAAAAAAAATGCCCACATTTTCCTGGACTTATTTTGTGCCAGCTGCATGGTAAATTGCTCCTTTGTTCTTGTTCTAGTAGAACTGATAAACCATCATTCCTTATTCACCATCTCCTGTCTGAGATGCTAAAAATTTCAGTCAGACATCTCCTGGTTGTTTCTTTTTCCAAGCTGTAGAATTCCATAGTAATTAGTCTCTCTTCCTATATATCCTGTATGTCTGACAACACTTCCATACTTTTTCTGTTTCTACAGAGTATTCTACAGTATTCCTTCAGGGATGAGATGACAAGAACTGAATACAGTATTCAAGAAACATGTTACTTAGCCAGTCTATGAGAATTGGACCATTACTATTATTATTCGTCTGCTCTCACAGGTTATTTGATCTTGTTGTATAGTAGAATTATTTTTTTTGTCACATGAATTTCTATGTACTTATTAACATTGAATTGATTAATTGATTGAGAGCAGTCCTGCAGAGAAGGACTTGGGGCTAATGATGGATGAAAAATTAGATATGAGCCAGCAATGTGCGCTTGCAGCCCAGAAAGCCAACTGTATTCTGGGCTGCATCAAAAGAAGTGTGGCCAGCAGGTTGAGGGATGTGATTCTGCCCCTCTGCTCTGCTCTTGTAAGACCTCCCTTATCCTGTACAAAAGACAGCCTGATTGGTCAGTAGTACTCTGGATTCTTCTC